CATGTTTCAGTAAAAGAATATTAGTGTTATGGCCAGATTTGGCCTTACAAAACAGTAGGTAATCCGAAGCAGGAGCAGGCACTCAGGACTATAGAGCAGGGCCTAGTAGGTAGCAGGTTCGTCTGCTAGGGGTGGCTGGTCTTTAAACGTGACTCGATACATCCACTCGAAGATATAATTACTAAGGCGCTTAAAGGAACAAGTGCCGGCAGAGCGACCAGCGCATCATTCTACTACGTCTACTGCGGTGACATCTGTGGCTGGAGATGGTGGGAATTCTAGAAAACCCTGTTATCCCAAATGTGTCCCATCACGCCGAAACAGTGGAATGCCACAGGGATTGGTATGCAGGACCTTGAATAAGATGTTGCGTTGGGATCGTTTATGAACGTTGCCACGAGGTGGCGCGTACGTTTAATGGCTTCAGATTAGAGATGGGAAGTCTCCAAAAACTCGTCCGTAGGTAGCCATAGCAACTATTTGCCAGATCAGAATAGGTAACGCACTCATCCCATTTAGCCTACCGCAAGCACTACAGGCTGCAATAGAGTAGCTGAGCAGGTGTGTCAGGAGACGTCGAACGCTGCGGCGCCTCCGCGTGTCGCCACCCGGCTCCTCCGCCGCGCCTTCTGAACGACCCTCGCGCGCGAGCGAATCGCGTGAGCGATGGGACGTTTGCGCGCAGGTTGAAAAGCTGTTGCTCGTTCGCTCAGTGCGCCGATTGCTTCACATTGAGTATGGCGCCGAACAAATCTGGCGAAATGCGAATCAACATTTCTGACAGTCAAGTGTTGCAAATCTATTTCAAGCTTTATTTCACTTTCATTCATTCATGGTTACTTCTAAAGTCAATTTGTATCATTGCGTCGGCTAATGTTCGGTTTAACAGTACTTGTGCTCCTCGGGGATTAAAATCTGGCTGAGTACCCTGCCATGGGGGCCGCCATCTTTGATCAATGCGATGCGCAGGTGTCGTTCAGGAGGCGCCTGCGTCCGTTCCTGCGAGCCGGTGCTCGCATCGAGCGCTCGTCTCCGACACAGCCTCTGCCACCTGGCTAACCAATTAACGCAGCAAAAACTCCACAGTACCACAACACATGCACGGCAGACGCACTGCAAGTGGCAATACGTTACAGGTCGCATTGATTATGCAATGTGTGAACGCATGCTAGAGTAACTGGCATTGTAGTTAAAAGTTACATTACCTTCAGTAGGGGCCAAACTGCGTATTTAAAGCTTTGTCCAATATCACTGCTGGTCATAAGAAATGCCTATCTTATTGAACATTGCAGTCAAAAATCAGTATGTTTATCGTGTCTAAACTGCTGCGCGACAGCGGTGTGATACAGTATTTCTAGTGCACTCGGACATGTTCGCACGGCATGCCGGCCTTTTGTTTACAAAGAACGCCCGGCCAATTGCATTCATAGTGATTCGTAAACCATGGACCGCTCGTGATAAGGAACTTTTTGTCAGGGCTGCCCACGTGAGTCCCGTCGATTAGTACGTGTTTATACTCTATTTCTATGTTTAGTGCCGTGCTGTGGTACAGCCGCGACACCTCCGTTTCATCCTGGCGTCCAAAACATATGGGCTGCACAAATGTTTACGTCATCGCTTGACTCCTGGAGTGACATTTTACAGGTCACGTACATGATACAGTGATACTAGCTCTAGACCATAAGCGCCTCCGCTCCGGACGCCGGCCGGGGGTATAGAACCTACTATGGCCAATGTCCAGGTAGTAAGCAAAAACTACTTTGTGCTTAATAACTTCTTCGTACGCCAAATAAAGCACATTCGCTCAGCGCGCCCAAATGTCGAAGCAGTTAAATGTGTACTTGCTATCTACCGTCGCAGGACGGACAAGATCGTGACTTTTAACCTCCATTTTTTGCTATGAGCGGCACAATGTATTTCCAAGCTGAGGGTGGGCAGGTTGCACGCGGTTGCAACCGCGCGTACGCGCTGCGCAATCGAAAATGGCAGTTACAATTCCGCGTGCCAGACGCTGCCACCCCTCACTTGAGAATCGACCATTGTGCCCTGCCACGGCTAGCGGCTGGAACCGGCGACTATGGGCGAGGCGCAACGAACTAATGCCGTCTACAAGTTGGTACATTAATCTTCGTCGACCGAGTAATGATAGCATAGGCACGTACAACATCTTAAGCGCGTTACACTGCCGCTAGTTTGCAGTTTACTTTTAGTGTTTGCGAGAAGCATTAAGACATATGTGCGACAGAGAATGTGCCTTTATTGGCGTACGCGGAAGACGTTATTAACGGCAAAAGTTGTCTTTGCTACTACCGTGGAAATTGCCATAGTATGCATCTAATAGCCCTCGCGGCGGAGCGGAGGCTATAGCTCCTAGAGCTAGCGTTCGAGTACTAGTCCGCAAAATGCAGGACTAAACTCGCTTTGCTAATCTGAGGGGCGGGTTCTTATCCGTGCTGCAGTCACCCTAGTAAAAATTGTTGCAAATTTGTGTGGTATTGGATAGGTGATGCGAGAGGCACTGAGGGTCGTGACGGGGGTAATATCCGACCCAAAAATCAAGCTACCGACCTTCTGTTCAATATCGCATTCGGCGAGACCTTTATTCGTTTCAGAAACTTTGTTTTCATTCAATGAATTCTCCTAGTCAATTGTAACTTTCGATATATTGGCCGTATTGGTACGCATTTTTCGATCGATGCAATGAAATTCACGTGTCCGGTATCTTCGGGTTCGAGCGGTCGGAAATTAATACTGTCGAACAAATAATAGATGGCGGGCAGACTACCTACGATGTTTGCCCTGTTGAACATCGGGAATGAGCCGAGGTAACCGGTAAGTGATGTTTCTATTTGGTGAACAATGGTGAAGTGAAGACCAGAACATTTTCTTTGATGTTATTGACCATTAGTTAACAACTTGATATAGTTCTATGTTGCTGGCCGCTCCCAGGACATCATTCAGCGTGGCATGCAGTATGATACATGATTAAAGTTCAATTAACGTAAGCTTTCCACGCAAAGGAATGTATATATGGGCGCATATATTACCACTAGAGTGGGCCCACCTCCAAACGGAGTGGCTTCCGGGTGATTGAAGAGTATGACGCGGCCAGTAGGACCCCATTACTGGGGTCTGCCGTCGGCTCGGACTGGACGGTTGATACTATAAACAACCGATTTCAAGTCTCGTTTGTACATGTAACCAGCAA